CGGGAACCGGACATTGTGAAATTTCATAGAGTATGGCTTTAAGCTTTCACTTCGCTCCACTCAGCTCCAGCCAATTATTTAAAATTATATAATTTACCGGTCACAATCCTAACAAATTAGTGAGTCCGGTAAGTAATAAACTTGAATCCTCGATAACAGGGTTTCCCTTCGCGGTAATTTTAAATTGCTTTCGGTAACGATATTAAAAGGCTTAACGTATCAACTGTACTGTCGTTTATAATTTTTATTCATTCAGTGCGATACTCATTTACATTTTATATAATGAAAAGGTGTACTGTACGGATACGCATCATCTATACTTGTGTAAAAAACCGATTAAACCCGTTTTTACATTGTTCAGGAACTTACTTATGTACTGTACTAATACTGTAAAAGTAAATGTTTTTTCAATAAAATAAATAAAATAATGGATTATACCAAAGATTGTTACGTAATCATATATATTATGGTAAGTATGTAATTAGAAAATATATAAAGTTTGCAACGTTTTATTAAAAACAAGTTTCTACGTATATATGTAGAAATACATTAAAGTAATATAAAAATAAACATTAAAAAGCTTTCCTTATATATTTATTGATATCAACTGTACAACAAAACATTAATGTATAGGTTACTTGTGCTGCTTCTTAGTAGACTTAAGTTCTTAACAAGAAACCTGATTGGCTAACGATTAAAGGAATAAGAACCATTGAATTATTAGGACAGTATTATAAAATAAATTATATAAGTGGAGAGACATTCTAATAAATCTGATTTTCACTTAAACATTGAATTTTAGAACAGTATTATAAAATAAATTATATAAGTGGAGAGAAACTCTAATAAATCTGATTTTCACAAAAAACATGACAGGTATGTAAGTACGTACGTCCTGTACGTTTGAAAATTCTATCATCATAGATATCATAGATGAAAGTTCACTAGATATATATAAAACTTTATACGTATACTTAAAATATATACCCAATATCGATTTCATGCCATAAATGTTTAAATGCACATTTTGAAATATTGTCTATAGAGTAGGGATGTCAACGGTTACAAGTCGGTCAGAAGTTAATTGCTAGGGAAGGTTATTAATTAAATTTATTCATTATGGTTTGGCATGGGCTTCTTACTGAAAGTATATAATAGATTTTCTTTAGAATTTAGAATAATATTATTTATACAAATTTAAACCGGTTACTGACCGGTCATTAATTAGTTCTTCTGACTGTTATGACCGACTTGTAATCGTTGATACCCCTACTTCAGAGAGGTCACCTATGAAAGGTTGCATATAAGTCATTTTTGAGAAATAGTGAATTTCATCTCTGGCGAGCAATAAAATAGAAAGGGGAAAATGTTATTAGAAATGTTATTACCACCTTAAATGCTAGTACTCTGCAAAATCAAATCAAATTTTGAATTTGATTCAAATTCAAATTTTGACTTGATTGTGCAGAGTACTATTAAATGCACGATAAAATGGTTGATCGTGGTAACCTATTTTTACCTTGAATCTTAATGATTATAGGTACGTACGCATGCATATTTCGAATTATGTGTAAATTGGCTAGAATGTGCCTTTATCGTTATGTATTCATTATGCAATCTGGCAACACTCATTCAAAATTCCATTTATTGCTTAAATACAATTGTAAGAATATCATCACAACTATTTCCCCTATATACTATTTAAAAGATATGTGAATGTCTTTATTTATGAATTCAGGGTCTCACTATAATTTCCTTTTAACTGAAATATTCGAATTCTAAAGTTTTCAGAGAAGAGGGTCAACTCTGATCGCTTTATTCTTTTAATTGCAACCTTACATCGCTTCAATTAGTGATTGTGGATCGGGTATTCGCTTCAAATCGCACAGCACCAAGTCACTGCATCACCTGACATCAACGTAAAGAAATAAAAAATATAATAAAAATTGAAAATTTCCAATTTTTACAGTATTTTTGTTAAATCCATCTGCATGATATTGAATTGTATTGAATCTTTTCAAGAAAACGAATTAACATGAACAAATTTCGATTTCAATGTCATGTGAGATGAGACCAAAATGAATGGTGGTAATAAAGGTCGTAACATATATTACGTACTATCCGTTTGCTATAAAACAATAATCTCTTTCTCTTGCAATAAAACTTTTCAATCCCTCCTTGGCAAAGATATTACGTAATATCCGTTGCTGTTCTAATAACATTTACCCATAAAATTTTAAGAAAGTCATTTTATTATAGCTTCATAAAAAAGAACTTTATTACTCACCTAACCCTAACATTGAATATCACTCACAAATATATATCTGATATAATATAAAGAATCAAGTTACTATTCTAGCGAATTTGGTTTCGAAGATACGATTCCTTACATCGAATACGTGAGCAATTCTAGGTATTATAGTTTTATAGCACGAATTCAATTGGTTTACTTATGATTCGCTTCATTAATTTATTTAAACATTTTGAAATTTATCATTGCTATCGTCAGCTCATGTGAAGGTCGAGGGTATGATCCCAGATATATGATGGTGAATCGTGCCATCTCTAGGTATTATAATTTTATTACGTAAATTCAATTGTTTACTTGTGATTCATATTGTCAATTCATCTCAATAATAGCGGAACCACGACCTTCTACCCCAGTTCAGGGGTTACCGTTCCTTATGATGATATTTCTGAAATATCTAGGTATAATAGTTCCATTGAGCAAATTTAATTGTTTACTTGTGATACGTTTTATTAATTCATCTGAGCATTTTGGAATTTATCAGTGTTATCAATACTATTGGTGGCACTTTAGGCCAAAATACGGTCTATACGACCCAGGAAAACACCAGGTATAATAGTTCCATTGAGTAAATTTAATTGTTTACTTGTGATTTGTTTTATTAATTCATCTGAACATTTTGGAATTTATTAGTGCTATCAATACTATTAATGGCACTTTAGGCCAAAATACGGTCTATACGACCCAGGAAAACACTAAGTATAATAGTTCCATTGAGCAAATTTAATCGTTTACTTGTGATTCGTTTTATTAATTCAACTGAACATTTTGGAATTTATCAGTGCTATCAATACTTTTGATAGCACTTTAGGCCAAAATATGGTCTATACGACCCAGGAAAACACTAGGTATAATAGTTCCACTGAGCAAATTTAATTGTTTACTTGTGATTCGTTTTATTAATTCATCTGAACATTTTGGAATTATCAGTGCTATCAATACTATTGATGGCACTTTAGGCCAAAATACGGTCTATACGACCCAGGAAAACACTAGGTATGATAGTTCTATTGTGCGAATTCAATTGTTTACTTGTGATTCGCTTTATTAATTCATCTGAATATTTTCGAATTTATCAGTGCTACTAATGCTAATAACGAAAAAAAAAAAAAAAGCAAATGAGTAATAAAAAGTATACGGAAAAAAGAGCAGCTAAAATCAAAGATCTGGAAAAAATGATTCAATATCTTACGGAAGAAAACAATAAGCTGAAGATGATTATGCCTGTTGAAATTAATCTTAAAAAAAAGGTTCAAGATCTTACGGAAGAAAATAGAGATCTTAAAAAAAGGTTCAAGATCTTACGGAAGAAAATTACAAGCTGAATATGCTTATGTCTGCTAAAATTATAGATCTTAACAAAAAGGTTCAAGATCTTACGGAAGAGAACAATAGACTTAGGACGATTTTGTATGATTTCAAAAATTATATCTATAACAGTAATATTTTAAACAATTTTTAATTTTATTTGTTAAGAAGATCTCCAACTTTAAGTTTGGAAAAAAATGAAAAAGATTATGTAACATTATATGATCATAATAAAATTCCACATTCAAATTTTACTGTATAGTAAATCGTTAAACATTTAAAAAGAAAAACAAATATGTTTACTCTAGACTTTAAATATGCATTTTTTGGTTTTTTAACTTTAGACATCCTTTTATATAATAATTGTATAACAGTTAAAAATTAAAAAATTTAAAAGGATTTTTATTGTTATTACAACTCGTTCTTCTTATTTAACACAAAATTGATGTACGAACAACAACCAGAGGTTTTTGCAGTTCAATAAATGCGGGGGCTGAAGCTGAAAATGGATTATGCTGAAAATTGGGATCTCTTTTTAAATCTATAAAACCTACTAAAATTCACATATACTTTTTATTAATAAATACTACTCCCTAACCCTAATCTAACTATGAAAAAAAGACTACAAAAAAGACCCTAAAAAATTTTACAATTTTAAAATAAAGTATGAAAAATTTTCAGCATAATCCATTTTTAGCTTCAGTCCCCACAATAAATACTGATACTAAATATGATCAGATACGGTGGTTAAAACTAGTATGTAACCCGTCGCATTGCTCCGAGTAACTGCAGAACTGTTAGGTAGAGATATAGAAACTGTAATCAGTTTGCTTAATTCAGTTACCATTTTAAATAACAATCAGGTTTAATATTAAATCGGGTAAAAGTTTAATTTGTTGTGAAACATTAATAAACCGGGTTTAAGATTTGGGCCAATGATTTTCTGCGGCAATAATAGGTCAATTCTGTCTGTGCTAAATTATATATTCTGCAAATCAATTTGACAAATTTCTAATAAAAGTATAAAAATATATATATGAAATCAATAAAACATAAAAATATACAGTATTAATAATAAAAAAAAACATTGATAAAATAAAAAAATTAATAATAAAAAAATTAATAAATAAAATAAAATAAAAAATCAATAACAATTAATTAAAAAAAATCAATAAAATATAAAATATTACAGTTATTTAAATTATTATTAAAATATAGCATTTTAAACTTTGTAATAATTTTTTATTTAAACTTTGTTGATTAGTATTTAAAATTATATTGTATTTTGAAAACCTTCTTTTTACTATACAAGATAAACCTAATAGCCAAATATAATCAAATGCAATTTCTAATAAATAAGGCAAAGTATTAGCTATATTTGACCAAAATTTGTTCAATATAATTTTTCTAAACTGTATTATATTTTAATTTACAATAAATTAACTATTTATATAATAGTTTATTGATAAATTAGTTGATTTTAGTATAATAGAATATTTGTGAATATTTTTTTTTATAATATTATCAAAATAAAAAAATTTTAAATTAAATACTTAATATTATAAAATAATAATCAACCAAGATAAAAAAGAATATAAACAATAAAATTTTGATATATAGTATTAAAGATATTACAAAAAATTAAATAAAAATTAGCTAGCTAAAAAGATTTTAACAAAATTAATATATTTAAATTTAAACTAAAATTTTTTTTTTTTTTTGGTGTTAAGGTGATCTCTTTCGGTCAGTATTTTATTATTGCTTGGATTACTTTTACAACTAGATGATCTATATCTGTTATACATATATTTCTATATACATAAACTCAAAACTTTTTATAGTAACTACTTTAGAATAATTTTATTTTCGAGATAACCTGCTAGAGCTTTCCATACTCACAATCTGGCTAACCTAGGCTTCAGTTGATACACACAGGCTGAGACCTGCTATTTGTGCTCTAGTTTCCATAATGAAAATATTCTCTAGCTATTTTGTTCTTACCAGTTTTTTCGTAACTGTTTTAACTAACTATAGTCTAATTGCTACTACACAACCTATTTCTGCTCTTATTTTTTTTTTTTTTTTTCCATCTTTGGCAGTCTTGCTAGTGATCCTTTTTTAAGATTATTGTTTTAGGGGTTGATTCAA